CTCTGCCTGCCTCCCTGCCTACTTGTGATCTCTGTCAAATAAATAAATAAAATCTTAAAGAAAGAAGGAAAGAAAGAAAGAAAGAAAGAAAGAAAGAAAGGGAGAAAGAAAGATACACTGGGGAGTCAGATCATGCTTGGAAATTTAAACTGAGACTGGGTGAGGTCCTCCAGGGATTAAATGTGGATAAAGAAGGACAGAGACTAGGACTGAGTCTGGGGCCTCCAGCGCTTCCAGATCAGGGAGTTAAGGAAGGGCAGGAGGCTATGGCTGGCAAAACAAAGACTCCCCGCAGAGTAGCTGGCCCAGGTGAGTGCTCCCCCACCCCCATGGAGCAGTAGATCATTTCCAATCTTGCTCCCTCCTTGAGCCTTGGCACTGGGGTGTGTGGGTGTTTGTGTGTATGTATGGGGGAGGGGCATAATAATATCTTATATATGACTGGCACTTCGGAGGATGCAACATCTCTTCTCTTTGATCTAGGAAAGGTATGAGAGTACTCTCATCCCATTTTACAGAAGAGTAGACTGAAACACAAAGGCTAGGTTCCTTGCCCAAATGACTGGAAAGGGTTGTCTGTCTCTAAGTTCCATGCTCTCTCTGAATCATTCCGCTTTTGGGGGCTTCCTGTTTGTCCAAGGAGGAGAGGTAGCAAGCAAAACAACCTGGGTGGGAGATGAAATCCTTCTGTCCTTGCTGCGTCTGACCTGCATGTTCCTGAGCTCCCCCTACTACCTCTGTGGGGACGGATTGTAACAGGGTTACACAGAATTGGGTTGAAATGATTACATTTCTTTCTTTCCTTCTTCTTAAGTAGTCTCTACACCCAGTATGGGGCTCAAACTCACAATCCCGAGATCAAGAGACTGAGCCAGTCAAGCACGCATTGAGGTGTTCTTTTCAGCCTTTATTTCCATAGCAGCAAGGAAACTGCTGTTAGTTGGCTTCTAGAGGGGTCTGGACTTATGATCTCAGATGCTGAGAGTGAGAGCTTCAAACGAACCTATTTCAGGGCACCTGGGCGGCTCGGTTGTGAAGTGTCTGTCTTTGGCTCTGGTCATGATCCCAGGGTCCTGGGCTTGAGCCCCGCATTGGGCTCCCTGCTCGGCGGGAAGCCTGCTTCTCCCTCTCCCACTCCTCCTGCTTGTGTTATCTCTCTCACTGTGTCTCTTTCTGTCAAATAAATAAATAAAAATCTTTAAAAAAAAAAAAAAAGAAAGAAAGAAAAGGAACCTATTTCCCTGATAGAAAATGGAATCAGGAGGCCTTATTTGAGGGATCTTGGCCTTTGGTGGGGACGGTGATAAATTCATTTTGGCTTTAGAGCTCCTGTGTGAAACAGGTACCTTCAGAGGGAGGGCGGCTTTTAGGCTATTTAGGCTGTTTGGGCGGGGGTCTTCCACTCACTCCATCACATGATGGCTTTCCTCTTGCTCCCTCTTAGTGTCTTGCCCAAAGCATTATATTCTCTCCCAACTTGTTTGCTTGCTTTTGGGAAGCAGCTCCTGAGATCGGAGGCTCCATTGGTCAAGCCCGGCCCTGCCCTGGAGAGAGATAAACAGGCCCGAATACATTTCCCAGATTGCAACACTGGTGACTCAGGCCGACTGGACAGCTGTTCCCTCACAGCACCCTGGTTGTACCTGATAAGGAAAAACATGGTTCATTCCAGCACATTGCCATGTGTGTGCACACATATAAACAGACACTTCCAGGCTCCAGTGTTGTCTTAGAGTAAATTATTGACCTTCTGAATGGCTAAAAGTTTGGATAAAAAAGGTGAGTTAAAAAAAAAAAAAAAAAGGTGGGCTCAAACAACATTGTTCGAGAGGAGCTCTGCTCCAGGTTTTGTAAGCCAAAAAAAAAAGTCAAACAAAGACTGTCATTTGGCACCACTTTGAAGTCACCTTTTGAACCTACCTGGTCAAGGGCAGGTTCAGGAATCTCCTGAGGCTCTGCGAAGGGGAGGAGAGGGCTTGCAGTGGAGGAGAGGGGACCAAGTCAGATTAGAGGAAATGGATTTATGAAGGAGCAAATGGCAAAGTGCCCAGAGAGTACAGGTGTGTCATAAAAACGTGAACATACTTTAACCACAAAGAGAAAGAATTGACACTGACATCTTAAAAAAAAATACAAAAACCCCACCTGAAGACCTTTCTCCTTAAATGATAGAGAGTGCATAAGGAGTGGGTAAATGGGAGTTTGAGATTAATAATAAAATAATAATACCACCACCAATAATATATTGCATCTTGTAATCAACACTTCATGTTACCTTTATGAAAAGCAATTTAAAGTTTATGAGGGGCTTTCACATTCATCCTTTCCATTTATTCCATCAACCCACTCAAGTGGGTAGGGCATTATGGGTCACATTTTACAGATGAGAACACTGAGGCTCTGGGAGGATATCTGCAATTAGCTGAGGCATAATTAAGGGCTGGGGAAGGGCAGGTTTGTCCTGAGTAACCCAGAGCTAAGATCCTTTCTAGACAATAACTCTTCTCTAGGTGATTGCTTTTCAGTGACATCTCAGAGGGCTAAATCTCCATTGCATTTCTAGGTATAACAGCCCCACCTTCTCCAGTGTTGTCTGGAACAAGTTTCTCTAAACACCTCTCTGGTTATTTTTGCTTAGAGCTTAGATCACAGCAGCATAGCATCTGTAAAAATTAAAGCCCACCAGGGATCATTTCTAGATCCTCCCTATTCCCTTTTTTCTCGAGACCCATCCTTGAACTGTTCTTTCTGTTCTGGAAACACCTTTGGGTCCTCTGAGCCTGCCACCTTGCTCTCAGGTGGGGAGGAAACATCCTTATTTGCACAGGATATTATGAAAACACAAGACTCACCTGGAGAGGTCAGGCAGGCATTTGGAAAGTGCTGAGGCCTATTGGCATCTTCAGACAGTGGTTCTCAAATTTTGACCTGCATCAGAATCATCTGGGGAACTTGTTAAAGACGTGGACATCCAAGCCTTGCCCCAGACCTTCTGAATCAAAATCCCCAGTGGCGGGGTCCCTGGACCTTTGTGAACTTAACAAGCTCCCCAGATGATTCTGAAGCACACCGAAGGTTGAGCATCATTGTCTTAACACTCGAATGGGGGTTACTCAGGTGAAGGAGAGTGAGGAGCAGAGGAGGTAATAGCAACAGGAGCCTGAAGAGCCTAGAGGAGACAGTCAAGAACAATTTTCTGCTCCATCCTGATCTCCCTTGAACAAAGTGGTCACATAAAAGGGTTTAGAAATCTCCTCGGGTCTTCCTTCTGACAGAATTGCTATGTGCAGTAGGAAAGACCACTGTACCCCTTTTAGGAGCAGTTAAAATAGCCTTTTTCATAGGGGCACCTGGGTGGCCCAGTGGGTTAAGCCTCTGCCTTTGGCTTGGGTCATGATCTCAGGGTCCTGGTATTGAGCCCCGCATCAGGCTCTCTGCTCAGCGGGGAGCCTGCTTCCCCCTCTCTCTCTCTGCCTGCCGCTCTGCCTACTTGTGATCTCTCTGTCAAATAAATACATAAAATCTTTTTAAAAAATCGTCTTTTTCGTAAAGTGGAGTAGAGGTTATCAGGGGCTTGGAGAGCAGGTGGAGAATGATTGAGGAATTATTGTCTAAAGGGTATGGAGTTTCTGCTTGGGATGATGAAAAAGTTCTTGAAAAGGAGAGTAGTGATGGTTGTACAACATTGTGAATGTATTTAATACACTGAATTGTGCACTTAAAATGGTTGAAATGGCAAATTTTAGTTTATGTATATTAAACACAGGCACAAATGACTAGTCCTTTGGAGGCATGGAATGGTAGGAGTAAAGAATCCTCAATTTTAGTTGATTGCTGCTGCCCCAGGTGTGTGTCGAGGCGGGTGGGGGGTTAATATAAAGGGACCCATCTCACAGCACATGGTCCGACAAAGCACAAGTGTATTCATAGGAAAGAGCAAACAGATAAAAATTTTGACAGCAAAATGTGATATAAACATCAAGAGGTGCCTAGATCACTCTTTCCTGCTCCCTTTGCCTGGTTGACTCCTGGGTCCCATACCACTTCTTATGGAGTGCTTTGTAGAGCAGTGACTCTCAAACTTCACTGCACATAAGAACCACCCCAGGACACTGTTAAATTGCAGATTCTAATGCAGTAGGTCTGTGGTGAAGCTCTGGCCTGCATTTTAACCAGTTCCCAGGTGATGCTGACACTTTAGATCCACAGACCATATTGAAAGGGCTGTGTAAATTTAAAGTCTTAGTTCACCATGATATCCTCATGTCCAGCAGAGTGATTCACACACAGTAGGTGCTCAATAAATGTTTATGGAATTAATGATGGAGTATATAGCATTGGTACAGGAGTGTGGAGGACAGAACAATCTTTGTCCTTTGAACACAACATATTTGGGGTGTTTCTGCTTCTATCAGTCATTCGCTTTGTGAAATTACCTCATACTCTGTGGGGTAAGGATGCTAGTACCAAATTATTTCTGGTCTTGCCAACTTGCTGCTTCAAGTCTAATCCTTGAAATAGTGGGCCTCTCTATATATGGAGGGTGATCAACACTGGTTTGCAAGCTCTGAGGAAGCCTTGCTATAGTCTACAATCGCTGCAAACAGATTCTCTCCATCCAAGGAGGGGTCAGGGTGCAGGGAACCCGCTCCTGTGGGAATTTTCTGATTTTGGTGCCTATCCTAGTAATTGCCACCTCAAATCAAATAAACAGCATTTTTCACAGTGTATATGAGAAGGTGGTTCATTACCCCAAAATACACAAATGTAATATTGCCATTATTTACTATTATCGTTTATGATGATGATAACGACACTGGCAGTTGAGCGATTAAGTGTGCGGAGGGAGTTGGGGGAGGGGGGCACAGGGCTGGGAGGGCAAGAGAAAGAGGAACTACATCTCCCAGAACCACCCGGGAAAGGCCACGCCGCGACCGCGGCGCCCCACCCCTTTCGCCAGCTGGGCCCGCCCCGCCGATGACGTCACAGAGGTGACGTCACGGCGCCCAGAGCGAGGCTGGGGTAGAGAGGCCGACTGAGCAGGAGTCGTCCGCTTGTCGTGGAGGCTGCTAGGGAGTCGGCGAGAGGGTGAGCGGGCGAGCAGACGAGCGAGCTAGAGCAGGCAGGAGGGAGCGACGCGCGGCGCACAGTAGCGCCGGGGCCAGGCCGCGGAGGAACCCACAACCGGAGAGGGGCAGCCCGAGCCGGGCGCCGCGGGGTCCCCACCCCCACTCGGCCGGACAGTGCCCGGTGTTCCCCCGTGCGGGGGGGCGGCGGCGGCGGCTGACGGGACCGGACAGGACCGCGGGGGTGTTGCCACCTCCCCCGAGGAGCCGGCGCGGCCGCGGGCTCCTCAGAGCCGGGGCCCGGGGCCCGTGATAGACGGGCCGAGGAAAGGAGAGAGGCGGCGGCGCAGGCGACGGGGAGGCAGCGGCGACACCATGTCATCCCCCAGTCCGGGCAAGAGGCGGATGGACACGGACGTGGTCAAGCTGTATCCTTCGTGGAGGGGGGATTCGGGCTGTGAGTGGGGGCGGTGTGAGGATTCCCAGGGCACCCCTGAAACCCAGCCAGGGGCCCTGGGGCACTCCCGGCCACTGTCCGAGGCTCCCTTCCTCGCCTCCCTCCCCCCCAGTGCCTACGGCGGCTCCTTGGCACCTCCCAGGAGCCTAGAGCCTTTTCAGCTCCCCCTTTATCTGCAGCACCCCGAAATGTGCGTTGTTCCTCCCTCTTCTGCACCCTCATTGCCTGCGACTTTCCTCCACGACGTTTGGATTCCCAAGACGGCCTTTTTTTTTTTTTTTTTTTTTTTTTTTGCAGGACCATCCACCTCTCTTGACCACCGTGCCCACCTCACGGTCTCTCCTGTTCCCTCGCTCTGAATTTAGGGACTCCTGATAGAAATTCCAGAGAGTGAAGCCTTTCTTCCTTTCTTGAGATGCCTCCATTCCCTCCATTCACTATGCTTCTTGAACTGGGGTAACTCAAGTGACCTCCTTTATCCCTAATTCCTTTCTATATTAGGAAGAGTAGTCTGCTCCGTGCCCCCTGTTGTAATAAAGAGCTCTGAGTGTTTTAAATCAGAGACTCTTGTTAAGCTTTCTGGTGCCCAGAAGAACCCCACCGGCTTTTTTTGTTTTGTTTTGGTTTTCACTGACAAAGCCTGTCCCACCCATAGTTGGATGCGGTGAGGACCCCCAGGCCCTCTAGCAAGCCACCCTCCATATTGTGGATATGACAGCTGGGGGAGGGAGAGAAAGAAGATCTCTCCTTGACAAAATAGCCCCTATACTGGCCAGTTAAGCAAACTCCCTCTGTGAGGGTAAGGTTCTTGGGGAATAACTGCCCTGATTTTACCAAGTGACACCCTTTATTTCCACACCCCCCCCCCCAACTTTATGTACTCAGGAGGTAGCAGTGGGAAAGCTGTAACTGATAAGGGCCCTTCAGGCTGTGGTTTTGGTTGGAGTCCAGACTGATTATTGCATGACCAGCTCGAGAAATTCGCGAAGGTTCCTGTGACAAATCTAGAAAATTTTTGAGGGGTAATTTAGAGCGTTGGGGGGGGCTGGGTGGGAGAGGAAATGAGTCCAGTGTTCTGAACAGCTAATCCCTGGGGAGAAGGGGAACCGGGGATGGGGAGTGGTGGTGTGTGAAACGCAGTTAAAAAGTCCTGTCTCCTGCTTCTCTTTCTCCCTCACCCCCATCCCCCCACCATTTCCCCCTGTTGCAGGGTTTTGTTTATATAACTCAAGTTGTTTGGCTAGATTCTTCAGGTGAATTCCTTCTTTCTTCCTTTTATTTGGTCCTGTTTTTGATAGGACATTTTTCTTCTTTTTAGAGGTTGATGATTATTGTTAAATACTCCGTTATGGAATTCTCCGAAGTTTTAAAAAAGTAGTTTTTGTATTTGGTTTGGAAGTGGGGGATGGGAGGGAAGTTGCCTGGGCAAGAGATTTTTTTTTTTTCCTCTTTTCAGGAATAAGGTGTTTTTCTCCTCAGGAAAACTTAGCTAGAAATTAGGAACAGTAGTAGACTTCTAAGTTTTAGGGTTTGAAGTTTAGAGTTTTTGGGAGGTGGGAGGAGGCATTACAGAGAGGAGCAAATAATAAAAAACATGTTCCAAATATGTCTAGGCACAAGTGAAATTGATTATTAGGAGCTGTTTGTGACTGTGATTGAGTTTTGTAAATGTGTGAATGATGCCAGTAATGTTGGCTTTTCATAAGGTTGCAGGAAAACTTGTAACTACGGTTGTGTGTACATTTTACACAAAGCAGTTTCGGGTTTTATTTTTGTTTAGAAACTAGGAAATGACATGGTGGCAGAATCTGAGTTATTTTTATCCTGAGTTGAGAGTTACTGTCACACCTAATGCAAATTTCTACCTAATGTTTAATTGGGATGGAGGTGGAGAGAGAATTCCAGCTGTTTTTGATCAATGTCAGAGTCTCAAATTATATACATACATATTTTTAGAAGATTGAGGATAAAGGGTGAGGCCTAACTTGACCTGATGCCTTTTCGATACACTGCCTTTTGTTCATTTAGTAGTTGTGGCATCTAGAATGATTACCGCATTTAGGAGTGGGGTGTGGGGGGTGGAGAGGGAGAGGAAAACAGACAAAGAACAGCAGGGTGTCTTTCTCTTTTTTCTTCCTCTAAGTGGCTTATTTCATAGCTTATTTTTAGTAGAATATGAAGAAAGGCAAAGATGCATTGGCCTTCTGTTCTTTCCCCACCTTCCTCCTTTCTGACAAAAGAAAGCAGAGGCCCTTTAAAATCATAGATTTCTGAGATAGGAGGACAACAGTCTCAGGACAACAAAGCCAGAGGTTATCTTTGTTTCGTATTTGTTATTTCTGGTCTCACGTAGTTCGGAAGTTAAAATCTCTGTATTGCCTTTTGTGTGTGCATGTGTGTTGTGGGGATGGGAGATTTTGTGGCCTCTTTTCTCTGTTGAATTCATATTAGTAGGCCCAAATGGAGCCAGTAATTTTTGAGCAAGGTATATTTAACAAAAAATTGAAGGAAAAATTTTGCAGCCCACTATTAAAATTCGTACAATTGTGTGAAAGGGCCGGGGGTTGAAAATGAAAGATGGTGGAGAGGAAGTAGAGAAGGTCTGAAGGAATGTACTTGCTTTTTGCCCCTCAGTGCCCCTTGATGATTTCTTTGGTTTGGAGGCTGATAGCTGGTTTCATTGTAATCTCCTGTTTCAGCCCATTTTTGGATGTCTCCTGAGTGTAATTATGCGACCACGATTTACAGCTTGGCAGGGAACCTATATAGTAGGAAAGTAGCAGTGTGGGGGTAGGGAAGGAAGGGGATGTGTAACTAATTGGCCACTGCTTTCCACCAGCTCGCTAGGTTCTTTTGGAGACACTCTGTGGTGGTTGTTGGGAGTCGGTGATATTTCTTTTGTGACGGGTTGGTAGGAGGAGAGCTGACTCTCAAGTTATGCAGGGAGTGAGTGTTTTGCACCGATGCACTTAATAATCTGCTGGGCGATTATGTTCTGAAACTCTGACTCATTCATTGTTTCTGTTCTGATCTTTGCTGAGGGTTGTGCAAACCTCTCCAGGAGCCTGGAGACTGATGTACTGACTTTTGGGCCCTGTAGGAATGTGTCCCAGTCAGAGAACTTGGTTTGCCCAAATCCTGTGGAATGGCTGTGAATGGTGTGGCCATTTGTTTTCCAAGTCAGGTTATACTGTGCCGTTCCTAGCCTGGCAAGCGTTGAGGTTTCCATCTCTGATTATTTTGATTGTCTGAGAACTGGGACTCTGGTGACCTTAAAGCGGGATTTGCCCTAAAGGAATATCGGTTTGAATTCTCCCTGGTGGAGGAACAAACAGCTCAGATTACACGGGTTTCCTTGGTGGTGGGGGTTACTCGTCTCACCCTGTTGCACAGCCTGGTGATCCTTTTATCTGCGAACCAGTGGCCCCTGCTGAAGGCTGGAGCTGCTTGTTTTGGAAAAGCGTATGCAGGCAAAAGGCCTCAGGCACAGCTCCTTACAGCTCATTGGCTGCTCTGTTACTACCCGGAAAAGGAGGAGGGGCGGAGCTACCAAACAGCTGATGGGAGTGTGTGACCGGAGTGTGTTTATATACAAAAGAATTAGGGGCTGGGGAGGCCTTGTGAGTAGTGTTACAGGATCAAGTATATTTTCAAGGGGTAGAAAGAGGAAAACCTGATTTTAGATTACAAGAAATAAATGTTCAAGGTTAAATCAGAAAAGTGAACCTGATAATAATGGGGACTTGCCATATGCTGTATTTGTTATTGGTGAGATTTTGGGACTTTGTAATACTAAGTTTTCAAAGATTTCCCTTTTTCAGAGGGAGTTGCAGTAACTTAAAATAGGGTATGCTGCCACTTTAAATGTACTTCCATGACTCACGCAGGGTTTCAAAAAGTATGGTAGAAATGTAAATTTTCCCTGCAAAAGCTTGAAGAGTGGTAGAAAGGGGCATTGGCCTCTACTAAATTCATTAACTGCGTTAGTGAAGTCTTAGAGAACCCTGGGTGTCTGCCTTAGGGTTTCAGAAGTTTTCAATAAGAAGTTCATCCCCATAAAACATCTGAGTACCCTCTTTATGCCAGGCTTGGTGCTGGGGGTTTAGTAGTGAAAAATTTCAGTGTGGGTGGTCATGCTGCTTATGTAACTAGTTAAACAATTAAAAAATCAAAGAAGAAGCTGTTTATAGTAGGTCAACTCTCCATGTAGCAGCTTTTTGAATAACTTGTATTTACTTTCAGAATTGACTTTTCAAGGAGTAGAAAGGTTAAAAAGTGAATTTTATGCAATGGGACAGAGTATGGGGATCTGTATTCCTAGTATTTTAAAGATAGATGTTAAAAAATGGAAACAAAAACATAGCTGTTTGTCTTTCACATCAACTTTGGTATTTTGTTGTTAATCAGTAGTTATTCTATCCCCAAATCAGTAGTCTTTGTTACTCTTTAATTTGTCCTCAAAGTGTAGACAATTCTGTAATCTTTTAACTAGCTCCAGTGTCAATTGAGAGAACCTGTGTTTTGCTTTTATTTCCTGTGGCCTCTGTTTTTGTGAGATGATGAGATAGAAGGTGGAACCGTTTTATGGTCTTCAAGCTGGAAGTTAAAGCTTTGGCAACTCTCAAGTGTTCTGAATTTGTCTTTTCTGCCTAGATTTTGGTGACAAATATAACACGCTGATACTTTGTTGAGCAGGAACCTACATGAGTAAGCATTCACAGCTTCAGAACAGGAGAGTCCTGCAGTGCAGGTCTAGTAAGTTACACACAAGCCTAAAAATTCATCTTTTAGGGGGGCGCCTGGGTGGCTCAGTGGGTTAAAGCCTCTGCCTTCGGCTCAGGTCATGATCCCAGGGTCCTGGGATCAAGCCCCACATCGGGCTCTCTGCTCCACGGGGAGCCTGCCTCCTCCTCTTTCTCTCTCTGCCTGCCTCTCTGCCTACTTGTGATCTCTGTCAAATAAATAAATAAA